GAGTGAGCAAGTGAGTGAGTGAGTTAGTAAAGGAGTGAATGAATGAGTTAAGGAGTGAATGAATGAGCAAGTGAATGAATGAGTGAGTGAATGAGTGAATGAGTGAGTGAGTGAGTGAGTGAGTGAGTGAATGAGTGAGTGAGTGAGTGAGCAGGCGAGCAGGTGAGTCAGGGAGTGAAGGGCCCTCGGCCTCTCTGAGGGCCCCTCTGCTGACCCCTGACCACCATAATTTGGGTCACCTGGGCTTGTGGACTGTTCCCAGCCAGGTGGTAACCCGGGAGAGCCCAGACCTGAATCTTGGCTGGTGAGGCTGTGTGATTGTCAGGTGACAGTCCATGCACACCCTGGTCTGGCCGGCTGCTCTCCACCTGGGTCCTTGATCCCAAAGAGCCCCCAGGTGGGGTAACAGACAGGGCCAGACGCTCCCATCCAGCAGCCCTGGGGGCCGCCACCCTGTCCCCCAGAGGGCAGGACTTCCTCCCTCCGAGCCTGGAGCAGACTGGAGACCCCCCTTCAAAAAGGCTGCATCGCAGGCGAGAGGAAGCAGAAACGTCCCTGGCGAGGGGGGCCTAGGACTCTTCTGTGGCTCTGTGGCCAGCAGTGCGGGGCGGGCTCTGACGTGCTCTCTGTTGCCCGCAGCTGGTACTGCGAGTGTTGGTACCAGTAGCTGCCTGTCCCTGTCCCAACACCCAAGCCCTACATCCGTGTTCAGACATCATTACATCCCCTACTTCCGAGGTAAGGCGCGCAGTGCTGCGGGCTGTGGGTGCTGGCAGAGCGTCCCCACGCGTCGGTCTCGTGTCTGTGTCACCGCATGGCTCCCCCAAGCCCTGTGTCTCACGCCTGTGCCTCGCTCTGTGTCTTGTGAGTCCAGCTGTTTTTGTCCGTGTGTAAATGTTCCTGGGAGGAAAACGTAGGCCACTTGTGGTGTAAAGGAGGAGTGGAGGTGGAGAGCTGCAGGGAGAGGGGACTCGGCCTCACCAAACGAGTGCCCGCCCGTGGTCCTTCGTCATCTCATTTTATTCCCACGTCAGTCAGCTCCGTGGAGCGTAGGGACTGCTAGCCACGGTTATCAGGAGCTGAAGCTAACAGCTGGAGAGGGGTGACCTGTCCATAGCCTCCAAGCAGGGCAGCCTGGCGGACCCGCCGACCATGCAAACCCCTGCATGGACGTGTGTACATGCATCCCACTAGGAAAACGGCCGAGCTCCTGGTTTCCATATGCTATGGACTGAATTGTGTCCCCCAAATTTGTGTGTTGAAGCCCTAACCCCTAGCGTGATGGATTTGGAAAAGGGTCGTTAGGAGGTTATTAAGGCCACATGAAGTCGTAAAGGCGGGGCCCTCGTCCTGTAGGATTGGTGGCCTTACAGACTAGGAAAGACTCCAGGAGGTCTCCCTGTCACTCTGTGTGTTCAGAGGAGAGGCTGTGTGAGGACAGATGGTTGTCTACAAGCCAGGAAGCGGGCTGTCGCCAGAAACAGCCCTGCCAAGACCTTGGTTGGGACTTCCGGCCTCCAGAACTGTGAGAAATACATGGCTGTGGTTTAAGACCCCAGCCGTGGGATTTGTTATACAGCCCTCGCTGACTCTCAGGGCTGATTCCCTGGAGACACGTGAAGTCCCGTGCCCTACAGCTGCTGGGTGGAGAGTGTCTCAGGAAGCACCTTCTGTGCCAAAAGGACCAGGGGACAGGCAAAAGGGCTGTCCTGGGCATCCGGAGAGCTGACACGGGCACAGCACTCCTCGTGGCCCCGTGCGGGGTCGAGGCAACAGTGAGCGGGTGGGCGTGAGTCCCCAGCTGCCCCTGGGTCTGGGGCCCCCTGAGCGTCTGATGGCAGCTGAAGGCCCTCCTTAGATAAATGTGCACAGATACACACAGAATCCTGCTTGTGACGTAGGAGGACACTGCACTATAGACTTGGGGACTGCGGGGGAGGGGACAGGAGTCCTGTGACAGAGTCTACAGCCCCTGCCCCCCAGGGAGGTGCAGGCCCCTGGACAAGCACGCGGCTGCAGAGGCCCTGGGCTATGCTGGAGGGCGGCAGCCGAGGGAAAAGCGGGGTTCATGCCATGGTGGGTGGGACAATCATCTACTGAAGCCCCATCAGTGCTGACAGGTGAGGTTGGCGCCATGCTCGGGAAGATGCCCGATGCTGTCCTCAGCAGCCCCCTTGTGGCCTCAGCCAGTGTGGGCCGCTGGCTGTGGTCTGTTCCAGCGGGACCCACGCTGCCCCTAGGCCCCAGGGCACCCACCCACGCACACGCGCTCTCTGAGCCCGCGCCTTTCTCGTCAGCCTGCCACGCCGTCCCGGCCTGTCCACGTCCAGGTCTGCATGGCGCTCACCTGCTGTTGAAGTGCCACTTGGTCACGTATCACCTCAGGGTCCTGCAGCTTTGAACGGCCACACCTGGAGGGGGTTGAGGGTGGCCCTTTCCCATGCTGTCGTCTCAGGTGGCAGAGGGTTTCCTGAGGCCAGCGGGAGAGGACATGGGCTGTGCCCTATGAGCGCCCTGTGGAAATGAGCCGTGCGGCCATCATCCAGAGTGTCCAGTGCCATCGCGTCTGTCTCTCATGTCATTCCTAAAATACGAGGGGGCAGGGGTTGGGGGGGGGGCTTCCACAGGAACTGTGGCCACGCACGTTTGTGACTTGATAATCCTACCTTGTCCACAAAACAGAAATTACAGACCCAGGTGGGGTAAGGAATCAGAGCCCGAACCCAAGGGCTCTCTCCATGTAATTCGCCCGAGAATAGCTTCATCTAGGAGGGCAGCAGCTGGCGGACACTGCCTTTGTCTTCTTCTCCCGCAGCTGCGTTGTAAAATTTACCTGGAGGCTTGTAAGGACAGATTTTGACGAATTCTAGCACATTCGTCCTGTTGAATGCTCACTTGTGGATTCCCCAGTAAAGCAGCACCTTTTTATACGAGGATACTTAGGAAGGAAGGCTCCAGTGCTGGTGAATTTTCGATTCCTGGGATTTAAACAGCAGCCAAGGCAGAGCAGCCCCCACCCCCTGTGTACCCCGAGGAGAGTGGGGCTCTGCCCAGACGCCACCCAGCTTTCCCACGAACTAGGAACCAGCTCGCGATCAGCCGTGGGAGCTACTGTGCCTTTGGCAGGGCGCCATTGAGGGGGTGGACACGAGGTTGGATTAACAAGTCGTTGGGCTCAGTGTGGAGATGTCGTGGGGACCCTGCTCCCTCCCCTGAGGAGAGGGTTTAGGGGGCTCCACAGGCAGGGGAGATGGGGCTCCCTGGGAATAAGCTCTCAAGCTTGAAACGCTCTGCTTTGCTTCCCTTCCTCTCTTCTATCCGCTGCCTTTGCCCTTCTGCCTGGAGGCAGTGAAAGTGGCCGGAGCACCCCCAGCCTCTCCGTGCTCTCCGACAGCAAGCCTCCCCCCAGCACCTACCAGCAGGCTCCTCGACATTTCCACGTCCCAGGTAGGCACCCCGACACACGGGCAGCTCCCCGTGCAGACCAGCTGCTTGCATCTGAACTGTCGGAGAGTCTGCCTCGCCTCTCCATCCCCCGCCCCCCAAATTCTGAGGTTCTTTAAAAATCAGCAAATGGGTTTCTATGTGTTCGTTTCTCCCCAAGCCCCATAAACACAGGGGGACATTTTTGCCCTCCTGGGAAATGGGCAGAGAGAAGGGGCCATCCGGGCTGGTGGGGGTCCCACCCTGTCGCTGGCCCCCCACTTTGTCTGCTCCCTTCAAACCGGGGATGGCACCTGGCCTCAGTGAGGCTTGGTCTGAGGTGTGGGGTCTGGGTGTCAGCCACTTGCGGGGTCCCAGATCCTTTCTGGAGTTTCTAAATCTGGGTGACTGGTGAGTGTTGACCAAAAAATCAGTAGAACGGAAACCATCAGTCTGCTTGCTCACCCTGCTTTCTTCTCTCCTTTTTTTCTTTCTTCCTTCCCAGACACTGGCGTAAAAGATAACATCTATAGGAAACCCCCCATCTACAAACAGCATGGTACAGTCGGTTTCCTCTGCTGCTGTGGCGTCCCCTGCACGCATGCCCGTCCCCTGTGCTTCTCAATGCTTCCTTCTGCTGTGCTGGTCCATGACGGGGCCACCAGGAGGCCCCAGCAGCTTGCATGTTAAACACAGACGCACTCGTAGGTCCCCAAGAGGCCTCCCCATAACTTACAGTGAAAGGCAGTCCGTAAGGACACGTCTGTGTTATAAACCCGAGGCTGACACGCATCGGCCAGGCTTGGGGTGGGCGTTTATACCAACCGCTGGCTTCTGTGGCTTTGATTTTGCTACTTTGAGAGAAGCAGCCAGACTGACTGCAGCCAAGATGGTGAGGGATGGAGGCTTCTTGGGCCACAGCCTGGGCCAGCCTGATGGGTGGAAAACAGAACAAAGCAGAATCAGTCATTCATTTCTGCGTGTTTAGGTCCCGTGTTGTGAGAATTTCTGATGATAGAATGAATGACCTCGCCTTCAGCTAGGGGGGTTTCTTGCAATAGCAGATGCCGGCTGCAGAGGCCTACTGGCAAGGGTGTCTATTGGCCCTCAGTTTCTCTCTAGAGGTTCCCACCCACCTCCACTCCACGTGCGCCAAGCGGGGACAGGTGCGCAGGGAGCAGATGGCTGGGCCGTGGGGCAGGGGAGAAGACTCAAGGTGTCCTGTTTCCTCACCGAATTGCTGGGTGATTGGGGGCTGTTGCTTCACCAGCCTGAGCCGCTTGTTTTCTCATCTGCAAAATAGGACGGATCCCTCCACGCAGCCCCTTCACAGGCTGCTTGTGAGGACCAGATGGGATACTGAACGTGGAAGCACGTCTTAAACTATAAAGTGCTGTGCATGTGATGGGGGTTGCTATCAAGTCAGTGGGGGGACGGGAAGAGGAATTCCCATACTTGAAGTTCTTGTTTAGATGCGCCAAATAAAGCAGCCACGTCCCACGTCGACAACTGGCTGGACACTGCTGGGTGGGATCCTTCGGAAGTGTGCTTTCTGTGACTTACTGACAAATCCGTGGTCCAGTTATGCAAATAACAGGGATTTTAAAGATGGTTCTCCTTGACTGCAGCAGCCCCTGTGCTTTGTGTATTTATTTCTTCCTCATCCCAAGGAAGAAAAAAATGAATGAAAACTCCTGGGTTCCCAGAAGGCAGGGATTTTTACTGTTGCCCCTCAGCCCGAGAAGTTTGGAGCACAGATCTTCCGGAGGGATCCGAGAGGGATGGGCTAGGTAGACCCCACGGCCCTTAGAGAGTGTCCAGACCAGCTCCCTTGTGTTACAAGTGGGGAGACTGAGGCCCAGCTGGAGGAAGGAGCAGGCACATCGAGTGCTGCTTTCCATCGGTGCCTGAGTTCAGAGCTGCGTGGGGGCTGCATGATCTGTCCTCGTCCTGCAGGTGGGAATGATAACGTGGCCGGTATCAGCCTCAAACATGCCCTTCACGCAAAGCCCCTGAGGAGGGCAAGACGCAGGAAGTCAGATGACGAAATGCTCACCTGTGTGACCGAGGCAGATCTAGGACTAACGACTTCCGACAGGAAGCCCTTTAACTGAATCGTGCAGTGGAGAGAGTCAGTTTATTACCACTGATAACCTTTGTGCTGTTTTTAATCTGGATAGAAATGCCTCCCGTATACAAAGGCAAGTAATTCCTATTGGACTAGACCCTGGACAACGGCCAAAACCCTTTTAACATTCCAGAATTTGGGCGTGTTGATTCTTTTATGAAATACATTTTATAGAGTGCCTATTTGGATGAAAATAGGCCATGAACTGAGGGTTCAGCATGTCGTGTGTACTCTTCTTAACCGGCTTTCCGTAGATAGTCCTCAGAAAATGATGGATGTATTGGGATGCATTTGATTTCCAATACATCTGAGATATTTTGATTTTATAAGATTATCCAATCCAGTGGGACTATATCCTGTCAGAAGTGTGTGTGTGTGAGCATGCATGTGTGTGTTTGAACATGCATGTGTGTGCGAGTTTAAACCCCCATGCAGCCCTTCCCCGCCCCCCCCCCCCAAATCTCAGAAAACTGACCATCTGGTCATCTCTTGGGAAGAGAGGAGCACAACTCAGGCTTGAGAAGCCATCGTTTTCATTTCCAAACTTTGCTGAAACAGACTCTGGGTGATGACATTGACTTACTGGACCATTTAATTAGTTTAAGAAAATATATTCGACAGCTAAAAATTATGCTTTGTAATTAACGATCTTACTTTTCAACTCTATTTCCAAATCGTCCGAAGTTTTCTGTTTGTTTGTTTTTTAGTTAGCATCACTCTTTCCTGATGTTCTAGTCCCATTCCTGTCTTTGGGAGAGAAGCCTCCAGCCATGAGGGTGGCCAGGTCTGCAGGGCTGGGGTGGGGACACTGGTGTTGGGGACCAAGATGATTAATTAGCATTCGCATAGCTGCATTCATGTAGCTGCCATTGAATTCATCACTGCCATGTGCTGGGTACTTGACACACGATAGCTCATTTCATCTCGACATGCTGAGACTAGTGTTATCATAGGCGAGGAAGCTGAGGCTGGGGCCGTGAAGTGACCAGTCAGTGGCTGAGCTGAGGTCCACACCCAGGTCTGCCTGACCCTGACCTCCGACCCCTGACCCTCCTGTCATTTTACAGCATTTAGGGCCCAACAGTATTTTCTTGTACTACATCAGTTCCAACTCTACTTGGTTACTATTTAATGGCTTTTTAAATAAAAGAATAAGAAAGAGAAGAAAGGGAACCGAAGGAAATGGGTGGGAAAGGAAGGACAGGATGAGCCCTTCCCTGTGTGGTCGGGAGCAGACCTGCCGCAGGGTCCACGCGGGTGGCCTGGGGCACGGTGCAGTGGGGCGCCCCCACCACTGCCCGTGCTGCTCAGGGGCCACCGCGGCCATTTCTGGGGCCTTCTTGCATATCCTGAGTCACTCGCAGCGTTCAGCCCAGTTACTGTGTGAGGCAGATGGGATTCCAGTCCCAGCCACCTCGCTCCCCGCTCCGTCACTGGCCGAAACACTTCCCTCTCAGAGCCGGTCTCATTCTGGAGTGTGGGGTTCAAGGCCATCTCGCTCGCTCCCGGGCCTGAAGGGGTTTTCGTGAGTCCGATTGGATTCTTGGCACAGAGTGGGGACTTTCTGGTGGTAGAGGCCTTGGCAGAGTGAGCCGGGCCCAGCTTTTAGGCTGTCTAAAATGAACTCAAGAGCAGAAAGAACGCTGCCCCAACGTCCCAGGAAGTTGGCTGTCCAGATGTTGGCACAGGACCTGTATTTCACCAAATGTTCTGTTTCATTTGTAAACAGACATGAGTCGTCAGACGGCCGTGTGAGTGGCACACGGGCCCAGGAGGCAGGACGGTGTCCCATCACCTCCGACTGTCCACTGATGGGGGGTGCTCACTTCTGCCCTCCCGCCTCTCAGAGCCTCCCACCCAGACCAGACAGTAAAGGTGACCCCACGTGGCACCCATTTTGTGCTATTTCTTGGGCCCCTGGTTTAAAACAGGAAGTGGTCACGTCTTGCGTCAGTCTAGGATTCCTGTGTAGTGGGGTTGAGTCTTGTTTTGGTTTGGGGGTCCTTTCTTAGGACAGGAGGAAAGGGTAGGGGGGCTCTGTATCCAGGAAGAAGGTTAGAGACATCCCCCACCCCATCAGGATGCCGCCAACACAGGTTCTGAGGGACACGGGGAGAGGACGTCAGCCTTTCCCAAGAGGGTTCCTCTACCAAATGCATTGCAGACTCAGCAGGAGCTGCCTCGTGTGGAAGGAAAGACACAGTTACCCCGATTTCTTTGGTTCTTCTGAGTGGCTCTGTCTTCCTGACACTGAAACAGCGTCCTGTACATCAGGCTCAAAGTCAGCCCGATGTTTACTCTGAATTTTTGAAACCTGAACTCCCCATTACATTATGACATCCACATGTTATCTCATGTGCTCCTCACACCTCGGAGGGATGGGCATCATTAGCCCACTTTACAGATCAGGAAACTGAGGCTCTGAGCTGGTAAGGAAGCAGGCCGCAAATGATACAAAACACGGGGTTCCTGGGGTTTCCTGCCCGGCTCCCACTTCTCAAGAGACCCTGTCGTGTTCTTCTGTGGGCTGGCAAGCGAGCTCTGGAAGGGCGTTTGTCTGAGTCTGGTTAAGCTGCGCACGCCTAGTAGAGCTGGTATGCGCCGAGCAAATGCGCTCTCAGAGGACTGTCCCCCTCGATGAAAGGAGGGCTGTTTTTGAGCCCTACTTCTCGTGTCTGGCCCAACATGTCATCTATGGCTGTGTGAAGTCCTTGAACCCAGCGTGGCCTGAACTCCAAGGGCTGGGATTTCACATCCCAATGGGCCCTTTTGGTGGGACCTCTTCGTTACACTTGCAAAGTACTCCAAGTGTGGGCCCACTTGGGGGCCTCTGAGGGCTGTTCAGGGATGCGCCTCACTCACTCGGACCAGCAGACCTTCTCTGGGCTGCATGATGGCAGTGCCCCGTCACAGCTCCAAATAGCCATTGGCCTGATTGTCCTTGGGGCTTGCTGGATGGCCACCAAGAGTCACGGCTGATGTATGGCCAGACACTCTAGGGTTCCGCTGCCTGGCAATGTCCAGCCGTTGTCTGGGGAACAGGAGAGCCCACGCTGACGGGCATGCATCCCCCTCTGAGCGCCCCGTCCCGTGTCCCCCACCCCCACCTCTCTCTGTCATGGCGTTCCTTGAGCAGGCTTGTTAATTTCCCTCTGCGAGCAGAGAGGGCAGAGTTTTTATTTTCACGTTGACAATCACTCTCTCCTGGAAGAAGGAGAGACAGGTAGCCGTCGGGAGTAACGAACGTCAGCATATCCAGAACGGTCTTCAACTGTGGCCTTATCTTGTCAAGGTCCTGTAGCCCAGTCCCCAATTTCCCAGCTCTCGGGCCTGATGTCAGTCTTGTCCTTGGTGGCGCACAAGGCAGGGTGCTCCAAAAGCCCTCCGCAGGCTGCAGGTAAGGAGCCCACCCAGGCGGTCCTTACGGCGGCCTCAGTCTCCATGGTGGGTGGGAAGGACCTGGGGTTCCTTTAATTGCTCAGTGCATGGGGTCCGTGTTTAGGACAGGGCGCACAGGATGGGTCTTCCATGGCTGAACTGGATACTGAGAACTGTCAGCACACCCTTGTGGGACATGTTTCATCATACTTGGTAGGAGATCATGTCAGCTGGGTGACAAGCACCCTGCCCCCCATCCCCCCCCCAAAAAAAAGGCCAGTGGAGAACGTAGACACCTCATGACTCAGCTCCACAGAGCTTTCTTGGGAGAGAACTTGCTTGCTCTGCCCCATTGTGGGCATCGCTGTGTGTACGCTGTACCCTCTGTACTGCTCTTCATGGACTGTTTCTGGTGGCATAACGCTTACCGTTTTGTGACTTGTGGGTGGCCAGCAGTGAGGTGGGCAGACAGAGGAAGGACCCTGGAGTCAGACTGCCTGGGTTCATATGTCAGCCTCTGCCACCCGCTCGCTTATCCATGATCTTGAGAAAGGCGTGTTATCACTTTGAGCCTCAGTCCTCTGATCTGTAAAGTGGGTGTGTGGGGATAGGCAGTAGTGTCCGTGCCCCACCCGCTGAGGCCGACACACGAGGGAGGCGCTGGATGACTGAGACCGTCTCTGACTTTGAAGTTAAACTTGGGCGGTAGAAAGTGCGTTCTTCAAAATGCCGAGTGGCTGCACTGAAAACATGGCCACCTCTTTGCATGGGGGGGGGAGGGTTGGCTGGAATTTTAATTAGGCTTCACTTCACCCACCTGCTCTCAATTTTAAGGACTGTCATGTACAAAGGCACACAGCCACCACCACCCCCCAGCCACTGTTCTGCAGGGACCTCAAAAGGCACTCGTACTGGTGACCTTTGATTGTTTTCCACTTTTGAGCATGGGTGTGACGCGGAAACCCAGGATACATGGTGTGTGACCTTGACAAATTGACTTTTGCCTTTCAGCCTCGAGGCGACTGGATGGGGAGGATGGAAGTTTGGACCAGGATATCAGGAAGGTAATGCGGGAGCGGATCCGGTTTAGAACCAGCTTGTTCAGGTAGAAACCTGGCTCTGTGGGCACTTGTCCAGTGGGAAACCTCAGGGTCCGTCTCTCGGGCCCCGTTCCTGCAAGGTCCCGCGAGGCCACGTGGACCAGGGACCAAATCCAAGAGGCGGTCCCACCAGCCTCCTCACACGTGGGGCCAGCACAGCTGCTCCCGAAGTCCTTATGATGGTCCTTAACTGAGGACACGTCTGAAACCACAGGCAAATAAACCACAGTGTGTTCTCGGGGCACTGAGACGATTGTTCTAGAGCAGGCTTGGCAGGCGCTTTCCGTAAAGAGCCCCAGAGTCCACCTCTTAGGCTTTGGGGCCACCCCGCCTCTGTGTAGTGACACCACTCTGGGAGCAGCCTGAGGTGATGCATGAGGGATGCCTGAGTGTGTTCCCCTAACGCTCTCACTGCAGAGGCAGACCGCACGCAGGGTGGGCCCCCGACTGTTTGCCCGCCCTGCCCTGAGAAGGAAGGCCCCCTTTGCTTGTGTGTAGGTGAGTGTGGGAAGAGCCCCAGGCTGGCTCCGCTGGCTCTCCCCATGGGAAGCCATCTGGGCCCTGGACCTCCCTACACCTCAGTTTCCTCATCTGTAAAATGGGGCAGTGCCATTGCTGATGACCTCAAAATTCACGTTACTTTTTTTTTTTTCTCAGCAGAAGGCCAGCTGGTTGATTCTCAAGGAGGACGCACACACTAGGACAAACTCCCCAGACCTAGACAGCCAGTCTCTGTCCCACAGTAGTGGGCCCGAGAGAGACCCTCTCCAAACAATGCCAGGAGACAACTTTTACTCACGTGAGTGGTTCTTCTGAGCAAGGAGCTGTAAAAGTGGCACAAAAGGCCTCGCAGCAAAGGGGCCCCCAACTTTGAGCCCATCCCCCAGATCTAAGCCTTTCTCCTTAAAAAAAAAACATAGGATCAAACCAACAGGCAGGAGGGAGACCTTTTGCTGCTTGCTGATTTCCCTCAGACTGACACCCGTTAGCGAGTGTGCTGGTCCCAGGCCGTGCCAGCCCGTCTCCTAGAACTCTCCAGAGCCGGCAAGAGGGCAGAGAGGCTAGGCGGGAGAAAGGGGCTCCTGGGCTGCCAGGCTGGAAGCAGAGGGCCCACTTCCCTCCAGAGCAGACGCGCACATGGTCCAGGCGGCGAGTCCAGACTCGGAGTCGGTGACGGCATTTCCCCATCTCCTGTGCTCTTCCTGAGCGAGGGAGGAGCTAGGGCTTTATATCCTCAGGGGGCACAGGAGACAAAGATGATGTCTGCTTGACTCTGGGGGGCCGTGAAGCCTGACTTAGGAGGAGGGCAAACCTCCAAATAATGGCCCTCATTTCCGGAGGCTGTAAATTACAGGAGAACAGCAGTGAAGTCTCTCAGGAGATCCGGGCGTGGTCCTCGGGCCCCCGCAGGCTGTGGGTGGTTTTCTGTGGGAACCTGGAGGCTTAGCCTGGACACAGAGGCCAGGAGGGGATGGCTGTGGGCGTGAGGACACAGAGGAAAGATGCTGGCTTTGCCCCGAGACAGACCCGAGTTCAGATCCCCGCTCACCACTGACTGGCCTGTGACCACGGGCGCTAGGCCCGTCCCTGGGCCTCAGCTCCAGCGGTCTGCCTGCCCAGGCTGTTAGAGACCCGAAGGAGTGACACACGCACGCAGCCCGCACCCTGTCTGGCCCATAGCGGATGCTCAGCAAACACTTTATCACTGTCATCCTCATCCTCATGCGTGTACGTTGTAAACTGTCTTACAAATGAAAGGGGAGAGGAAAGTGAAGAAGCTTGGAAATGATCGTCGTTAAAGAACTCTAAACGAAGGAAAGCTTATTGTTTTCTGTGTGATCTTTGTAAGTCGGTGCCTGTATGCACCCCACGCCTCTGTCCCCCCCGGGACGCAGCTCTCTAAATGCTGGGCTCTCAGAGCTGGCGCACAGGGCTGATGTCACCATGGGAAGGGCATACCCGAAACGTCCCCCAGAGGGACTCGTCCAGAATGGCAGGGATGTGGCAGGCTGCCTGTCCTGCCAGCAGGCAGGGGGAGGGGTGCAGGGCTGGTCACAGGAGAATCAGGCATTGGCAGCCGGTCCTCCCAGCCACCCAGGGCCCAGGCGGAGCCTGACTGGCATCTGCCCCGGCCATCAGCACACACCATCCGCTTTGTGCTCCTGTTTTCCTGGCGATTGTTTTTGAAGGTGGTGAACCTATGTCGCACCAGCTTAAAGCACCTCAGTGACCCTCCCACTGGGGCCTCAAGGCCTCAGCCCCCAGGCCCAGAGCTCTCAGGAAATTGTCTGGGCATCTCAGGTGGTCTCTTCCAGCTTTTGGTCCTTCTCTTGCAAAGCTGGTGGCACGCCCATCACCTCCCCTGAGCTCCTCAGTGGAGGCCAGCTGCTGCCCTCAGGGGTTCCCACTTCTCTTCGCGGCCTGCCTGGGGCTCTGACTGAGACAGGAGGGGGCACCGTGTGGGGAGAAGCTCGGGCAGGAGACCAGCCACCCCGGGCCCCTGTGTCTCTGACGTGATGTGTGGCCTGTGCGTGTTGCTTTCCCCTCTTGCACGGCTTCCTCATCTGCAAATGCCAGAACGAGGTGCCCTGGGGTTGTCCCGGGCACCCCGCAGGTGGTAGACCCTGCGAGGCCCAGAGGCTGTGCCAGCTGTTTCAGCCTGCCAGTTGCACACCTGAAAGGGCTTGTGTGTCAACCCCGCCCCTGCGGTTACGTTTCAGTCACAAGCTGGGAACCCCTGGCAACCACAGATGGGAAACGGCCACTCCCATCCAGGGTGCACCTGGCCTGCAGGAATCGCTGTGCTGGAACTCATGATCTAACTGGGCGAACAGTGTGTGTGTGTGTGTGTGTGTGTGTGTGTGTGTGTGTGTGTGTGTGTCCGTCCCCTTCTCCATGCTGACACCTGCTTATGATGAGTGATAATGCCTCTGTCATCTCTTCACCTTCTGCTGGCGCTCTGACGTCAGGTCCTCTGAGCGGGAGGCCCACCAGGTGTGACCCTTGCAGTCATGCCTTTATTTCTGTCCTGATGATGCCGCCTTGTTTCCACTGTGCATGCAAGTAGCAGTGAGGACCCAGGCTGCTGGCTGTGCCTAGATCCGGTGTGCCTTGCTGTTCGCCAGCCTCTTGGGAAATCTAAGCGGATGGGCAGCACTCACAGAGGGTTGTCCCCCTTCTCTCGGGGTTCCTTTGAGCTCCCAAATGTGAGTCCATCGATACCAGTTCCACTCGCGAACAATTGTTACTAAACAAAGCGTTGGCACTCAGCAAGGTGCGCCCGCCTGCGCCCCGGGACAGCCATCTGTAGCACACCCAAGGGAGGTAGGATTGTGACTCTCTACACAGTGGGCTCTCAATAAATGTCTGTTGAATTGAGATGCATTAAATTCAACGGGTATTTATGGAGCACCCACTCTGTGCCAGACGCTGTGCGGGCGCCGAGGGGCAGATTGAGAAGACAAGAGCAGCCTCTGCCCTGGAGAAGCATGCAGGGGGCTGGGACAGGCAGTGATGCCGATGGGAGCGGGCACACGTGCATCCCACCACCGCCTGTGGGCTCCCGGGGCTGGTCACAACTCATCCCACTTATGACACCATCAGCACATCTCGCCTGGGACTGATTTCATCCGTCAGTCGTCCATCCATCCCTCCACCAAACATTGAGCACCTACTATGTGCTGGACACGGTGCTAGGCAGTGGACAGGTGGTGGTGAATATGGCCCAGTCCCCATCCCCTAGCAGGGAAGCAGTTGATTGGACAGCAGTGACAAGCTGGTGTGACATCTCTTTCCTCCATGGCAGTGGTTCTCAGCCAGCACTGCCACCCCCTCCAGAGAGGGCCTGAAATCCATATTTGATGATAGACTACTGTTATTGTCTTTTTTCGTACACGTAGGGTATTCTCTGGACTATGCTTGTAGTAGGTTGGATTGTTGATGGGCCTGATTTCTGCACAGGAAAGGGACGGTGTTGGTTGTTTTGTTACAAGAAGAGGGCCTTGAGTCCTATAGGATGAGACCTATGGCCCCCAGAGGGACACAAGTTGATGTGGGCCCTTCCCTTGGCCCAGACCCCGTGGATGGGCCTGCTACTGCTTCGGGTCCCACCTTCCTGATCTGTCAGGTCCTGTCCTCTCTTTTGAGGTCCCCACATCCCCCCCTGGGTGGTCAGAGGTGTGTCAGCGTCAGACAAACCCCCCAGCCAGCTGGAGACCCTGCCCAGAGGACTCAGTGAATTTCTAGAAAGGACGCTGCACTCAGAGATCAGGGTGAGAATCAAGGTAGCTCAGGTGGGTGGGCCCCTGTGCCCCAGCCCTGCCTGTGACTTTGGCATTTTTGTCACCACCTGTCTGTCCCTCCCTATGGAGTCCCATTTTGGGGCGGTGGGGTAGGGCAGAGGCTCAGGCAGACAGCACCCTGCCCCGAGGAGCTGACTTTGTAGTGGGGGGCAGGGTGCAGACAGTTAGGAAGCCAGTCACCTCAGTGCCGTACAGGACAAGAGGCTCGCAGGTACTGAGGGTGCTTTTAGGCGCAGGGGTCAGGGAAGGGGGGTGACGTCTGAGAGGCTCGAGGGGTGTAGGCTTGACAGGTGCAGGGACTTGGGGAGACACCCCTCACAAAGGTAGGGGCATGGCCCAGGGGGTGCATGATGGCAAGGGGGCCCTGGTGGGGGCGACGCTGGGATGTACAGTGTCACACAGGGCTTTGTTGGCCTTGCGAGGACTCCAGCCTGGCCTCAGAGTAAAGGGATGGTCCCAGCAGGTCCTCAGCAGACCCTGACCCCACCTCATGTAGGTTTCAGCAGGACTGAGGGGGTGCAGGGAAGGCAGTAGGAGGTGATGGTCATCCTCCAGCCTGGGGGTGTCCTGGGGGTGCATAGAGGGGACCTGGGAGTGTCCTAGGGGAGGGTGTCCTTATGTCCTGGGGGGTGTCCTGCGGGGGCAGTTAAGCAGCACAAACGGTATGTAAAAGGTATGGAGGGAGAGCAGCCTGGCCATTTGGGGAACAGGAAGCCGGTGGGGTGACGAGAGAGGGACTGGCCAGAGACGCGGTGGTCCGTGTGCCATCCTGCCCACTAGGGATGGTCAGCACCGTGGGCTGTGAGCAGGGAGATGAGGCGGGCAGCTCTGTGTGTTTCAAACACGGATGGGCAGCTTCACAGAGGAGAAAATGGAAGCTGTCTGGCCAGAGTGAAAGGGAGTGGGGCGTCCAGATAAGCCACAGGAGGCCCCTGGAAGGGTCTGGATGGTGGTACCATGTGTGAGCAGTGAAGGAGGACAGGTGTGGGGGACAGGTGACATGGGGCTGCGCTGGCTCCGGCAGGTGCAGGCACCTTTGTTGAGAGTTGGGGCTGAATGAGGTGAGTTCTTCAGGTTGAGTTGGGAGCCTGAGGCATCCAGGCTGAGCTGCCCGGAGGTGGACGGACTGGCTGCGACCTCGGAGGAGGCCTGGGCTGGAGGCAGAGTCCCAAGGGTCCTTAGCTCCAGATGGGCCTGGGTCATGGCAGTGGGTGACCTGGGACCCAGGGCATTCCACAGGTGTGTGCCTGATAAAACATGTTCCTATGTGCGTGTTACTTTCCCAAAAGGACCTCGGGTGACATTGTCCTGTCCCCCCGCCCCCAACTGCTCCCCTTCCTTCTCCCGTCCCCATCTCTGTGAAAACAGAGGAGGAAAGGAGAGAGAAAAGTGGGGAAGGCACCAGGAAGAGGGAGGGGTAGGAGCTGCCAGGCGGAGAGCACCACGCGAGGGGAGGGGGCCTGAAGCCTCCAGCTGCGCGTCAGCCAGGAAGGCAGGGAGGGAAAGGCCTACGGGGGCCGGAGGGCTTGAATCTGGCCGCCCCTACGTCTCACAGGTGGCCAGGAGGTCACCTGGTGCAGACACTCCTAGGGAGGGACTTGGCCTCCAGCTGGGTGGGCAGAGTGCCCTCTGCCCTCTACTCATGTCCAGCCCCCAGAGAGAGCGATGGGAACTCTAGACATCAGGGAGAGGCCATTGGCCCAGGAGAAGCCACCGGTGGTCCCTCACTGGTAGAGACCACCCCAGCCCACGTGCAAGAGCGGGGCTCCCCAAGGCGGAGCCTGCTGCCATTCACTGCGGGATGGTTGGGGACTCTGCTTTCAGCAAACATCCCTGGGCCCCACTGTGCCTCGCAGGCGTTCATGGTAAGGAGCCAGTGTCTCCCTCTAACACTGCCATGGGGTCTTAGACACCCCGCCCTACTGGAAGCTCTGTGCCCCCTGTCAGCTCCTGGGGATCAGGGTCCAATGGAGACCCCAGTGCTTCCCTCACTTGCTCGTAGCAGCTTCTCTGTGAGTTCTTGGGTGGTGGGCATCCAGTCTTCTCTGAGCAGCACCTCCTCCCTTCTTGGGACCCACTGCTGTTCCTGGTGGGGTTGGGGGATGAGGGAGGCCACAGCTAACACAAGGCAGCAACAGTGTCCACGGGATCACACGAAGGGGGCAGAGAGCGCCACATCTGGGTGTCGGTCCATGAGTCCCCGCTTGTTATTGGCTCTGTGATGTTGGGCATGAAAGGAAGCTTTTCTGCATTTGAAATCACCTCATCTGTAAAAGTGGGGGTGTTCCAGCCCTCCTGGCAGGAAGGCTCTGGGCTTTCGCGCTCATGCATGGGCGCCCCGACACCCGATAGCCCGGGCCCTGCGGGAGGTCACAGAAGAGCGTGGTCAAGTCCAAGCCTGGCCTTGGTGAGCTTTCAGCATCGTCCCCCTCACTTGCTTCTGAAGCCTGAAGCTCAGACTGTCCAAGGGGCTTCCAGTTCAGTCGCTTAGCGATGATGGGAGCTCCAGCCCCCTCCTTCCTCAGATGGGGACACCAAGCCCAGAGAGGGGACCCGTGCCTGCACCGGGCCACACAGCTGCACTGTTCCATACCCCTGCCTCAGTGAACAGAAACCAGTTATGAACCTGGTGAACCTGATGCAGACCTGCTCAAGGAGAGGCTCAGGCTTAGTGGTCAGTGGCCCACAAGCACCCCGGATGCTGTGACGATGAGTCGTGTCTGGAACAGTCGTCCACCTGCCGGAGTCCTCTCCTCACACATCCAGCAGTTACTCTAACGTCTGACAGGCCCACACAGAAGAGGCACGGGCCTAAGCAGACTGTGCTCAGGGCCTCGAGGGCAGTCCCAGAAGACGGCTGAGGGCAAGGTTGGAACCACAGAGCTCTGAAGGGTAGAAAGAGGAAGGTGGACTGACTAGGGGACGGGAGGAAAACCACAGGACCCTGTGTCCCCCACCTCCCATGACACAAGGTGACCAGGTACGTGATTTCCTCCCCTCTCCATCCATGGCCGGCGTCTCCTACCACAACTTGGGCTGCAGAGCTTCCAGAGAAGCACATTTTATCTCCTTGGGCGGTGAGCACTAGCTGGACCCAGCAGACCAGAAAGCACTCTGACAAGCATTCCGAAAGCTAAATTGTCTCCGAACCACAGCGCATAATAAGCCAGGCCCTACGCGTTAAGAGGGGCAGCCTGATAAGACAGAAGACTTAACCAGCATCCAGAGTCTCCCAACATAATACCCCAAATGCCCAGGAACAACAGAGAGGTGATCCTTACACCAAAGACCACGAAGATGAACTATTTGAACAAGAAAAGAAACAGATACAACACCGAGAAGAATCAGATGTTGGAGTTAAACATCTAAGGATCTTTAAGGCAGCATCACAAAAATGCTTTAACAGTTAGAAATACGCTTGAAATAACTGAAAAACAAAGTCAATCTCACCAAAGAAATATAAGTTATTAAATGGAAATTGTACAACTGGAAAATAAAATCACCAAAATAAAAAATTCACTGAATGGGTTCAATAGCAGAATGGAGACTATCACAGAAGAGAAATCAGTGAATCTGAACAATAGAGAGAAAAGCGCAGGAAACGAACAGAGCCTCAGAGCCTGTGGGGCAATGTTGGATCATGGGAGTCCCAGAAGGAGAGAAGAAAGAGAGTGAGCCTGAAAGAAGTATTGAAAGAAGCAATGGGGGCCGGCCGAGTGGCTCAGTTGGTTAAGAGCTTGCCCAAGAGTGTGAGCTCTGAGCAACGGGGTCACCAGTTCGATTCCCACATGGACCAGTGATGCTGTGTCCGAGCTAAGCTGCCGCTGAGCTGCCAACAGGTGCCAGGATGGCTCAGCTGGTGAGAGCATGTGCTCCTAACAACAAGGCTGCTCGTTTGAATGGTGGCTACGCCCACCTGCAACTAAAGACTGAACTCGGCAACTTGAGCTGAGCTGTGCCGCCCGTGTGGCTCAGGCGATAGAGCGTGTGCTCTTCACAACGAGGCTGCTGGTTCGACTCCCGCATAGGATGGTGGCTGCGCCCACTAGCAACTAAGATTGTAACACAGCACCTTGAGCTGAGAGGTGCGACTGGACTTGGAGCTGAGCTAGCTGCGCCCTCCACAACTAAGACTGAAGGACAACAACTTGGCGGTTCCCCCTCCCTTAATTTCCCAACACTGTTCCCCTCCCCCAATTCCCCAATAAAATATATATTTTTTTAAAAGCAAGAAAGCAAGAAACAATGGCTCAAAACTTACCAAATTTGGCAAAAGACATAAACCTACACATTCAAGAAACTGAGTGAGTCTCAAGTAGGGTAAATCCAAAGGAATCCACCCCAAATCACATCATAAGTAAACTTCTAAAATCCAAAAACAGAGAAAAAAAATTATTGAAAGCAGATAAAAGACGGATTCTCTATAGGGGAACACCAATGCAAATGACAGCCGATTTCTCATTAGAAACCATGGAGACTGGGAGGAAGGGACACCATGTTTTCCAGGTGCTGACAGAAGATTGCTGTGGTGTGAATTCTGTATTGGTGACACTATTCTCCAGGAATAAATGGAGTGTAAGGACATTCTCGGACAAAGGAACGCTTAAGAGAATTTTTCGGCAATAATGGATTTGGCTAAAGGAAGTTCTCCAAACAGAAAGGAGATGGTAACCAGAGGAGCTGCGGGAGGGATGAACCTCCGAATAGGTAAAAATACGGGTGAATTTAACAGGTGCATCTTCTTTTCATGAGTTTCTTAAATCACATTTGATGGTTGGAGCAAAAGTTACAATACCACCAGATGTGGGTGTTCAAGGTAGGTAGAAGGGATACCTGAGAGAATTGTAGCTAAAAAGTCACTAGGGTAAAGTGACCCCCGTGGAGGGAAGGTTTCTACACTTCGTGTGGGGTGGCAAGATGGTGAGACCGGAGCACGGGGGTCCGTCCAGGTGACTGCAGTGCGTCCAGGTGGAAAAGCACTGACTTAGCGCGGCTAAGCGTACAGGAGCGGGCACTGCTGTTCTGGAGACCGTAGGGCAGCGGTGTCCCCGCCTCAGTGTGCAGCAGAATGCCTCGAACCACAAGACCCCAGCCCCAGAATTCTGACGCAGCCGGTCTGGGTGGGGCCTGAGGATTTGCCTTCCTTATAAGTTCCCAGGTGTGGAGGCTGCTGCTGTGTCAGGGACCCCCACTTTGGGAACTACTGCTTTAGCATCTTCAGCTGACAAGTGGCTCCTGTGTCTCAGCCACAGGCCCCTCAGACCCTCAGCCCATCAGCCCCACATCCCCGAGTGTGCCTGGCTATGTGCAAAGCAGGAGGCAGGTGTGTCCTGGAGGGACCCCAGGACGGTAAGGGGCTGAGTGATCTTGAGCAGGTCCCTCCGTGTTGGGCCCTCGGATCCCCTTCTGTGAAATGGGAAGTGAGGGCTAGGTTGTTTCCTGGGTGGGGAACCCTGCTCCTCCAGGGAGCCAGGCTCGCCCACTTGTCCGCCTTTCCAGCCCGCACCCCACACTCACCTCTGAGCCGCGTGTGAGGGCACTGCAGAGACCCCCACTGTGCTTTCACCAGCCCTGGCACCGAAGGGGCTGCCTGGGGGAGCTCCAGCCCCAGGGCCAGCCTGGGTGTGAGCGACAGATCAGACTGTGGCTTTTCACGGGGACCCAGGGCCCTGTGTCTCAGAAAGGTCCTTTTTCATTCCGAGAGAAGCTAGGAATTAGGATTTTAATGTGAAATCCCGCAACTGTAAACAGCTCAAGATCTAAAAAAATAAAATAACGTGGTCTCCAGGCCACCTTTGGTTGGTGGTGGGCCTCCATTTGCCACTCTGGCACAGGATGGGACAGTCTCCCTCTGGCTGTCAGAGAGCACAGGTGCCCGCCGGGTTAGGGTCAGGCTCCGGGTTTTCCTGGTGTCATGGCAGGCTCGGGGATGTCCCCCCTCCCTGACTTCTTCCTCAGACCCTGGGGACAGAGGTCACGAGGGAGGCAGGGTGTGACTGCCAGGGGCCCACCATTGTCCCCTGCCCAGTCCCGCTGGCCTGGGCTGAGCTGTCCTCCCGCCTGGCCAAGCCTGCCCGCGTGTGTGACAGAGCTGTGCTATATCTGTTTCAGGATTCCCCTATTCCAAATCTGACCCTCTCCCAGGACACGGCAAGAATGGCTTGGACCACCGGGTAGGTACCCACTCGCCCCCGGCACGGCACGCGGTGTACTAACATCACTGTGGGTACAGCTTCTCGGTCACACAGCCAGGAGGAGGGGCCCAGGGACCCCGCTCGCCTGCCTGCCTCTGCCTGCGGCTCCTCCCGGGGGCCATGCTGCTGCTTCTCCAGACCAGGCCAGACAGAACGGGCAACACCCCCGAGTCCCCCGAGTCCCCCGCCCCCAGGAAGACCTCAGCGTGCGAGGCAGGGAGATGGGGGCCGCCCAGAGTGATCAGACCCTCGTTAAGTCCCCTCCTGACCCACCCCCTTCTTCTGTGACCCAGAGCCTAACAAGGACCTTAAATGTGAGCCAAGGACTCACTTCCTTTCCAGAAGTGCCACTGTCCCCCCATTGTTACCACTGCCACCACCACTGGTGTCATTGGCACCTATGATTATCACCGTCACCAGTATCACCACAGATGGTGTCATGGGCCCCCCCACTATTATCACCATCACCATTATCCCCACTAACGGGGCCTTTAGCGCCTGTGATTGTCACTGGAGTCCACACAGTTGTTGGTTTCTCTGCTCCCAGCTGAAGGCTGGTTAGATCCCCTCACCCCGGTTTTCCCGATCACGGGACAGCCGACAGGGAGCCCAGATAGTTTGGTGCCTGACTTGTCCCCCACAGAGGGGCGAGGCCCTGACAAAGAGTTATCCACTTCTGTCCCCCTTCCCACGGCTTCACGAGATCCCCAGCGAGCGCCCCTCGGGCAGGGCGGGCAGGGCAGAGCCTCCGCGCCACACACAGTCCAGGAGACCTGCCCTCGCCTGGCAGCCCCTCCCACCAAGGTACTTTGTCCACAAAATGAGGCAATTTGACCTCAACAGAAGCCACTCAAAGCTGAGTCCTCGTTTGCTGCACAGCCGTGGTCTCGGCAATAAGTGTGTAACGCAGGGGCCAGCCTGCAGCCCGCCCCAGGAGGATCTCGTAGCCAGGGGCCAGGCCACAGGGCCGTGTCTAAGCACAGGGGTTGTCACCCGAGCCGAGCCGCAGGCGTCCTCTGGTCTCTGTCTTCCCCAGCCCCTGTTGGACCTGCGCTGTGTCTGTCCTGGGCGGAGCCTCTGCGTGGTTAGACTCCAGGGGCCCCGCCCCATCCCACTAACCGCTGCCCCCGTTTGTTCTGGAATGTGCTGAGTCGGGGATGCGCATGAGCACGCCTCTTTGAATTCTGTCCAGTGGGCTTCTCCACCCTTCAGGTTCCACGTGGAACATGGGGGCCTGAGAAAGCGGACCCATGTCCCCAGGACGCCCACGGCCCCAGGAAGCTCAGTGTTGGGTCCTGAGGGCGGTGGGGAAGTGGCCCAGGAGGTTCCCTGCTCACCTGGAGCAGCTGTTCTCCAACTCAGAGCAGAGCAGGAGCAGAGCTACCCCTGTGACCATCACCCTGAGGGGCGGGAGCAGCGTTAGGAAGCCCTGCGCCCTTCTGCATATGCTTTATGGGGGGAGCCCATAAAGGTGGGATCCGTGGTCACGTGAAGGCTCAGCTTTTCACCTTGCCCACCTGGGGGACCGGTAAATAGTACTGGCGGGGTCTGAACCCCATCCCTGCTCACGTTCTCTCCTATTTTTATTTTTTAGCCCTTTCTAAGACTCTTATGTAAGTTTATGCCCATTTCTCAGTGGGGAGGCCAGACAATTGATCTCTGAACGGCCAGCCTTTTTCAGTGCAGCCGTGCGAGCCGCTGGGCTGCCTCCCTTCACACCGGCGGTCCCCCATGAGCGCCTGTCCTACTGTGGCCGCAGTGCTCCCACATCATTGTTAAGTCATCTCTTGGTTTTCACTTCCAGGAAGGGTTCTTGGTGGCCTAAAGTAAAAACGCAGACTGCGTGTGACCAAAACCCCACTGACACCAAGTCACAGGGAGGAGAGAAGGAAGTCGTAGGAGGAAATGATATCAGAAACAAACAGAAGACATTATGTGAGGAAGACGGGGGAAGCTTAGCTCCGAGGTCCTGGTGAGGGCGCGGGGGCGAGCGGCCAGCTGTGTAGCTCTCATCGGCCGATGGACAGAAGGGAAGCGGTTCGTGGGAGGCAGAGGTTGTCCTGGTTCTTGCCCTGAGAGGGATTTGGGGCAAGGGGCCAGCACCGTATGTCCCAGAGCTCGTTAGCGTGTGCGGACAACCAGCCTGCCACAGAGCCTGCCCTTGGCGCATGCTCACAGCGCCCTGTGGAGTGAGTAGGGACGCAGCCACGTGCCACAGGCTTTCCTGGGGACGAGGAGCGTTGCTGCCAGCCTGTGCCCTCTGGCCTGTTATTAAGAGAAGGACCACTGGCCGCCAACAGACCCTGGTGGTAGCCCCCTGGAAGGAGTCCCATCTTGAGAAACTAATGCTAAATATGAGCAGACCGAATTCTCCAGCTAGGAGACGGAGATGTCAGGTTAGACTTAATAGCATTGGGTTGTCGGAAAAGTCACGACGCGTTTTTGCAACGAAAAACATAGAAAAAAACACGTCATGACTTTTCCGACAACCCAACATAAAGAGGGACGCTGGTTCACGGTGACACAATATGTACAGCAGGTGTAGCACGCATAAATTTAAATGTCCCAAGCTTGACAAACTACAAGTAAATTGGTTGCTGTCACAACAAGAATGGTAGGCGATTTGACTGTGACTCTTGCAATCAGACATATGGGTCTAGTGGAAAAGGAATGAAAAGTCCATGCAGCAAGTGAGTAGTGCAAACAGCAAACACCCTCTCACAGGAATATGAGGAAAACGGATATCTTCCGAATCAGGTTTTCACGTGTCCGTTAAGCATTTATAAAAATGTTCACGTGTGTGGACTACGAAGAAAACCTTAACAAATTAAAGAAGCCCGATATTTTCCAACTGTAATGCTGGAAAGAGCATGTGTATGCGTTGGCATCAGACAGCCCCGAGTTCAAACCCCAGCTCTGCCAATGACTGGGTTTTTGTCTGGGCAAGTTACATACATTTTCCGAGTCTCTGTTTCCTTGTCTTTAAAAAGCAATTAGCCTTACCTGTTAAAATTACTGTGAGAACAAATAACATTGTGGCTGTGAAATCTTCTCATAAGCTCTACAGCGTGGTTCCCACCTGAGTAATGATTATAAAAGCAAGCCGTGACCCTTCTTACTTCCAGGTCAGTGGCTTCTGAGTGACGTGACACAATCCAGCCTGAGCTTTAGCAAGAGAAGCACAAGGCCAGCGGTGAAGGGCCACAACCTCACTCCCGCTATTAGCAATTCTAGTATAGTTTTTGAAAAGTAAAACACAGGAGTTACATTTTTTACATTTCTGTGTATTTGCTGTGTGGTCTTGGGCAAGTTGCTTAACCTCTCTGAGCTACATCCACAAAATGGTGATAATCATGCCCACCTCCAAAGGTTGCAGCAGAGATTAGCAAAAGTGTCCGCAGAGCAGATAGCTGATAATGCCACACAGGTGGGAGAGGTCAATAATTTGTTGTTTTTACATTCTCTGGCCCTCTGCTGAGAACTGCAGGGGAACCAGCCAGGGCCATGCCTGTTGGCACCACCTTTGTGGGGCTCCCCTGGCCCCTTAGCTCTCCTGCCAGCCCACACAGAGCAGCAATCCAAGGCTCCCTTGCACCAGAGAAGTCTTGAGATCCCAGCCTGACTTGGCACCTAGAGAACCAGGAGGCTGCTGTCACTGCCCTGGGCTGATCCTGTGCTCCCTCTCTGCACCGGACGATGCCCCACCTAGGAGGCAGCCTCTTGTCCAGAGGCTGGCGGACCAGAGGAAGCTGGTTTTGCCGCTAGGAGCGGGTGTCCATCTGCCCCAGATGGCGCCAGTGGCCCTCGAGTTTGGACGGCCTGTGATGTGGGGCAGTGGGCACTAGGGGGCAGCATTTCTCTTCTGTATCACAGACAGGTGGCAGGAGGCAGGTGGCTGGCAGGTTTGTCGCGAGATTCCCTGACAGGTATACCTGCGGGTGCTTGTCTGTGTCCTGAAAAAATGTCTCAAAATGTGTTCTTGAAACTAAGGAGAATTGTTCTGTGCCATGGAGGAGGTGGAAGGTCACGGAGAGTCACTGGGTGGGAGCAGACACCTGGCCGGGGGGGGGGGCAGGGCTAGGACGAGGTGAGGCAAGTGAGGCACTTAACAAAAGACTCAGTAATCAAGATAAATGTTTTAATGCAATATTTCTTAAAATCCAAATTCATGCAAAAGAAAACCCTATGATGAACAAAATATCAAATGTTTAAACTAAGACTGCCTCCAACCCTGCACTTACATGCTTACCCTTCTCACCGCTTCAGTTTCCCTGTCTGGGCTGAGGGACTTTGTCCCTGCTGCTCTCTGGGGTCTTCCCTGCCCCCCACTCTCTAGGACTGCGGCCAGCTCCTCACTTACCACTTCTTGCAATGAATTAGTGCTGAAAGCACTTTTTCCTGTAACAGAATCCAGGGGTGAAGAATATCGCTTCCCCTTTACCTGCAGAACTCCCTGCTTTGAAATTGGACCCCTGTAACCCAATTCTGGGAGTGCTGGCCGAGAGCCCTGACCCAGAGTCAGACCTGTACCAGGTACTGGGGATACGGGCCCGAGTAAAACGTTTTCTTCAAGGGTCTCAGTCCCATGGGCAGTGGCTGCATGGCCACGACAGAGCTTGGCTCCCAGTGTGAACACCCAGTTGAAAGGTGGAGAGAGCAACAAACCCCTGCAGGGCTCAGCGCGTGCTTACCGGGTTGAAGGAAGGACTCTCCTGATGGTTGGCAGGGTGACATTTTCAGGTTGGCAGAGGGAAGGAGACTTCTAGACATCCAAGGTCGTTGATGCACTAACATGACAAAGCTTCCCAGCAATGCTATGGACAGGTGAGGGAGGCACCCGTCTCAGGTCCACATCCCCTTGGCGTGTCACCTTCTGAGTATCATCAGTCACAGCCACTTGGTACGGAGTGCTCACGACACACCAAGCTGTACAGACACCGGCCACTGAGCACCTGGGGACGGCGGGGTCTGGAGGGGAGCAGAGGCCCCCGTGGAACGGCCTCCCCACTGTGCTGGAGCCCCACACCTAATGAGCTGCCCACCGGGGTCCACGCCAGCTGCAGAGCCCAGGGACCAGGCCCGCCATCTTTAAAGGCGGCTCATTGGCGGTGCCTGGACAGGCAGGATCAGCAGAGGCTGGAAGGCGGCCGGAGGCGTGAGAGCAAACCTGCCAGGCTGAGACAGGTGCCCCTTCCGGAGCCGGTGTCTCGAGGCACGGTGGTCCGACACCCTCCCCACCAGGCGGAGAGGACCAGGCGTGGCCGCCTGCCCCTGCAGCCTGCCTCCTGCCACCCTCTCTCTCTCTCTTCCAGAACGCCAATCTGGCCTCTTGTGGAGCAGACCCGGATGCCAGCTGGGGCACGCGAGGTACAAGGAGCGAGGCGCCTGTGGTCTCTGGCTGGGGCAGGGAGTCACTGACACGTTCCCACAAGTCCCATTCTGAAACCACCCCCTCCAGGGCCAGCTGGCAGAAGGCTCCAAGCATCGTGGGGGGCGGGGTGCTCATGTCCCCACTTCTTCCAGTCAAGGATCAGTGTACCTCCATTCTGACGTTCTCTGAGGCCCTCCCTCTCTCCCGTCAGTCCCTGTTCTGACTTGTGCGTCACTCTGGTTTCTTGGGACAAGAGATCTGTATGGGAATAACGGTCCCACGCCTGGGCACAGGCCAGCCCACTCCCCACCGCAAATTTCGTGGCACTAAGGGAGGCAGAGTCGCAGCGAAAGGCCCCTGGGTCTGGGCCGAATGGAGCTGGGTCAGACCCTCCCACCCTCGCTTGCTGTGTGGACTTCAGGAGGGCTGCCTGCCGGGAGATTGGCCGTGACCCTGGTCATGTGGCAGGTGCTTGACCGAGGGCTCTGCCAGCTCTGAGCCGGCCCCGAGCCTGTGCAATGTTCACTCATACTGTCACCCAGAGGATGATGAGGGTGGGGTGGGGGGGTTCGTCCTGGAAGGCAGAGTGTGTGTGTGTGTGTGGGGGGGTCTCAGCCTGCTTCCTCTAAGGGGTTCCTCAAGTCCCCGAGCTCAGAGCTGGCACGTCCAGGATCCCGCGTAGCACACTGGGAAATTTAGGGACCGGTTTCCACTTGCCTGGGACCCCTGCCAGGAACTTTCTCCAGAGATAGATTTGTGGCCTGGGTTCTAGAGTTTCTACTTTGTGGGTTCTGTGTGTTCATGGAGGCCTCCTATTCATACAATGTGTTTTGTTTTGTTTTAACGGGACGTTTTTAGTCTGGAGGGAAAACCTTTTAAACACTAGTGTGCGAAGCTCAGTAATTTAAAAGGAGGAACTAAAGTGTTAAGAAAGTAAGACAGTAAGAGGCTGGTGGGTTAGACCCCAGTAAGACTATCAGTCTCCGTAACACCCCCAAAACGTCTGCCTGGAATGTCCACTCCACAGAGAGGTAAACTGAGGCAGGCTGCTTTCTCAGAGTAGCCCGGACCACAGAGGAGACAGTGCCGCACCCGGCTCCCAGTCTGGCTCCAGCCCCCTGACCACACCTCCTGTTCTTGGTTTCTCGCTGAAACCCTTAGAGCCCCCCTCCCCCTGTGGCCCCAGTGCAGCCGCTGGGGGGATGGGATGACCAGCATGGCCCAGCCGACTACGGCCTAGGGAGGGGGTGGTCCCCGGACAGGATAGCTGCCACCTTTGGGCCCAGCTCCCGTGCTTTCTAAATGGCCACCTGTGGTCTCCGGTCTTTCTCTTACAGAATACAAGGTAAGAAGGGCCACCCACCTCACCTGCGCTGACCACTTCCTGCCGCCGCACCTGCCCAGGTTAAAAGTTCCTTTTGTTGTGCTTTCCCTATGACATGTGTGTGTCAGATGCAGACGCAAGTATGTACCTCTCCCCTGGCCGGGGCTCAGTGCTTACCCAGCAGGCGCTCACTTCCCGGGGTGAACCTGTGGCTTCTCTCCCCAACAGATCTACCCTTATGATGCCCTCATCGTCACAAACCGAATTCGTGTGAAACTGCCCAGAGATGTGGACCGGACGAGACTGGAGGTAAGAGGGGCCCTGGGTGGTCGTTCTGACCAAGAGAGGCTCTGCAGGTTCCAGACATCCCTGGCTCCTGAGTGTCCCCACGGGGGATGGAGCAGGGCGTGGTGAGGGCTCGGCCTTGAGGACCTGCGTTGTTTCCGAGGCTGGAGAAGGAGCTTGTGGCGCTTGTGTGCCCAACAAAGGCGGCTGTGCAAAGAGGCCACAGCGGTTGGTGGTTTGGGCAGGGAAGGCTCGGAACAGTGTTTTACTCAGCCACACGCCTCCCTTCCCCGGGGGCTGACAGTGAAAAAATTGTCACGATTCATGACGTCTCATGAATAACCAACTGGTCCCTGGTGAGCAAGCACAGTTGACCCTTGTACAGCACGGGGGTGGGGGCACCGACCTCACCACAGTCGAAATCCGAGTGTAATTTTGACTCCCCCCAAGCTTAACTACAGTC